GACACTGAGTCACAAGGAAACAGAGAAAATGCAAAGGGTCGTGACTCACTGGTGGCCCAGAGTGGGCAGGAAGCCCCGGTGCACACACTGGGGGGTGGGGGTGGGGGGGGGGGCGGGGCCAGGCTGGCATCAGAGGGATTTTTCAGGCAAGTTCTGGAGAATCAGGTGGCAGGGTCTTGAGCAGCCCTCCAGGTCATGCTGGCTGCTCCAGCGCCCAGCCCTGACCTCTTGCCCCAGCTCCCCGGTTCCTACACAAAGCTGCCTGGACGGCCCGCTACCTGTCCCCGGCCTGCTGGGGTCCCCCGTAGCTCAAGTGGCCACCCTTTGGGCAAGACGTACTTCCTGGACACCAGCGTCCTCATCTGGGGAGTGGAGATGTGATAGGACATTGTCACGCCCAGACAGGTGAGAAGCCTTAGGACCAGCTGGTGCAGGGCCTGGCGGGCTGAGCAGCCAGAGACAGCCCCGTGGGGGATCCTAGCACAGACACCTGCTCCCCTGGCCTCTGCATCCGGAAACCAGCGAGGTGGCCCTGGCGAAGGCAAAGGTGGTGGACCGTGGTTTTCCGAGAGCTTCCCAATGGGCCCGGCCCTTCCACAGACCTCATTTTCTCATCCGATGTTTAGGCCCATCGGACCCATTTGGCTGGTGAGAAAGCTGACATCTGAAGAAATTAAGCAACTTGGCAGGAGTCATGAGGACCTGGACTCGGGTCTCCAAGGCTGGTCTCAGCGCCAAGACCCTGTGGGTGTCTGAGCTGGGAGGGGGTGGGGGGCAAGACCACCCCTTGGCCAGGCTGGGCTCCTTCTGGTTGAGGAGAGGAGGTTGGGTCTCCAGAAACATCTCTTTGGAAAGTTTAAAAAATTCCAGTCATTAAACAGTTCAGTGTGTGTGTGTGTGGTGATTGGGGGTGGGAGGGGGCAGGCTTGATGTGAACATCTGATCTGAGAGTTGTTCCTCCTCCAAAAATCCTTCCAATGACTAAGAATAGTAGATTTTGTTCTGCCCATTAAACTTGAACCCCACTTATCATTTTACGACACATTATGCAGTTATTTTGAGTTGTCGGCTTTCACTTGGAACTCAACCAAATATTGACACTGCTTAGTTTGTAAAATTTCCTGGACTCAGAGCAGAGGGTAGCAGGTTGAAGCGAGACCCTGATATGCAGTGGAGATTTACATTCAGAAGGAAACTGTGTCTCAAGCTGTGTAACCATAATCCATACAGTCTACTTGCCCCCGTCCGGCCGCTCCGGGGGGCACAGGGGAGGCCTTATTTGGGGTTGCTGCGCTCCCTGGATTTTGGTGGGCGTGGGGCACTTGCTCTCAGTGCGTGTCTGAGCTCCGGGTTCTGTGCTGGGTGCTGGGGTCTCCTGGGAGGCTGTGTGCCAGGGAGAAGCTGGCAGGCCCGGTCACCTTTGCTGGACTCTTGTCCTTGAGGCCTCAGTGCCCTCACCTGCAAGCTGGGGGCCGAGATGTCCAGGACCAGGTGCCATCGTCCCGAGTGCTGCCTTGGTCTTCAGGCAGCCTGGCCAGATCCTGGCTCCATCACTGACCCCTCCTGTCTCAGTTTGCCCATCTGTAAAGAAGGGTTAACGATAAGGTGCCCTCCTTCCTGGGGCGGCTGCGCATCAGAGGAGTCTGTGCTCAGAGCAGCGGCCGGTGACACGTGGTGAGCAGTCAGTTGTCGCTGGCCCCTGGCAGGGCCGTGGTGAGGACAAAGGGGACCGCCTGGGAAGGACAGAGGTGCCGTCCTCATGTGAGCCACCTTCTTCATCCCCCCAAGCCGTTCTGAGAGAGTCAGAGGTGGCTGGAGCTGGCCACCCTCCAAGTAGGCCGCTGTGTCGCCCGGTGACAGCCGTGCCTGCAGCCCTGCCCAGTCCTCGGTGGTGATGCCAGAAAAAAAAGGCCCAGGCCCCTCTTCAGACTCTTCTCCGGGAGCTCATGCATTAGGGCCGAAGGATAAATAAACGCCGTCAGCTGCGCTCCGGCCCCTGCCCCGCTGTGGCATCTGCAAGCACCGAGCGCCCCAGCCACAGGCGGGTGCCGCACAACAGATGTGACTGCTCCCTGTTAAAAATGGGGTGTGAAGGAGGCCCAGGGAGGGCCTGGGGGCTGGGCATTGGCCTGACCCAGCCTGACCCTCGCCTGGTGTGTCTGGGGCTCCTGGATCACCCCCCCTCCCCCCCC